CCCGCCTCTGCTCACTCAAGCCGGCCTCCGCTCACTCTAGGCCACGGTTTAATCTAGCCGGCCTCTGCTCACTCTAGGCCGCCGTGTGTGACGCTGTGTTTCGTTGTGAAAGCGAAACTACTTTGTTTGGTCTTCCAAAAGAGGACACGACTAGAAATCAGTGGTTAAGTTGTATTTACAACACTGTTCCAGAACACTTCAACCCAAATATTCAGATGTGTCCAGCGCATTTTATGGAGGACTGTTTCCTGATCCTGGGAGAGTAACGTTAGACTACAATGCCGGCTGTTCTGACTCACGTAAGTACGTTTTCATTTAAAGAATTTGAAGTACGTTTTGATATTTAAAGGATTTGCCACTGACGATTCAAACGCGAGTTTTGAGCAGTGTAGAGTAGCACTTGTCATTTCTCCGATCACAAATGCAGACATGGTTTTATGTTTATGCGGCGCGATGCAACACGTAATAAGACCGTATAAGTCGTTATAATCCATAATTATGTCCCCACTGGATGAAACAAATGCCTCGTTTATGATGTGTTTTCATGTTTTTGAATCATCGCTCCGGCCTGACAGGGCATCATCACAATATGGTAAGGGGCGTAACATTTCCGTCACACGCTTGAGGTATTCGGCCAATCACAATGCACTGGATAGCTGGCCAATCACAGCACACCTTGCTTTTCAGAACGATGAGCTTTGTAAAAATCTACGCATTCCAGAAAGGCGGGGCAAAGAGGAGAAACAATAATATACAGTATGTGGAAAATAATGTGTTTTTTAACCTTAAACCGCATAAACACATTTCATTACACCAAATACACAAAATAATGTTATTTTAGCAACACCATATGACCCCTTTAATGCAGCTCAAGTGCTGCAGTCATTAAAGCAAAAGAAGCACAAATCAAATCCTAAAACATGTCTGAAATTCATGCACTTTGAAATGAAGTCTTTCAGATGCTGATAATGTAATTTGGTATTTATTTATTTTTTGGCCTTGAATAGAAATTAATGCAAAATAAAAGCATTGTCACTAGTGATCTCACACCTTTGGACCAGACTGTAAAAGTCAAGTTTCTGAACCAGCACTAAAATTTTAAATATACAGCCACCAAGCAGTTTGTGTTGCAGATTACTGCATTTTAATTGCACCAGGCTGTTCAATTGTCTTTTGTTGGCTTGGTTCCCCTCTCAAGACGGCTTTGCAGTCAACCTGTCACTTATTCGTGCAAATATGTTCAACACGTGGACTAAATATCTAACATCAATGTAAAATTGCACCAATTGCATTTCTCTAAGAACAGGAAGTGTGCTTAGAAAATTAACAACTTCGTGTTAATTACAAAAGAAAAAAAATAATAAAACAACACAAATTTGCGTCAGTAATATTATGCATTTATTAACCACGCCATCATAAAACATAAAAAGTGACAGCTAGGGTTAAGACCATGAGACTATCGGTGCACTTCAATGTAATGAACAGCTGCCGCTACTCTGCCTGCATGATCTTTAAACTTAATGACAAAATCAAACATAAATCAGTGCTTTCCCATAGGCTCGATCCTGCCAGAGCAAAACCAAGCCTCTCTATTAGGAAATGACATGAATAGTTTAAAGACAGCGCCTGATATAAGCTCGACTCACCCGTGAACTCAACAGTAAATCCGACCAAACCAGCTGCGCTTCTCGGTTCGCACCCCACCCTCCAGCGCCTCAGAGAAGCATCAGCACCACCGCCTATCCACCCGCTGCCGCTGATTGGCGGACGCTCATTCATCCCTCCCGCTGATTGGTTGACAGATAG